GTTTTGCACGAGTTCAAATGGTTAAATATAGATTTCTTGTACCATCTTTGAATTTTGGAAAATTTTTGAATATTTATGAAAATTTTTATTATTATGAGGAACTTTTCGATTTAACATAAAAATCTTCCAAAAGTAGGTAAGTAGTAGTAGGTAATTTGATATACACATCGCATGAAGTTAATATCCACAGTACTAAAAGAGATAAAGTAGTACCTTTCTACCGATATTTCGAATAATTACTTTGAATTAATTTTAATATTTTCATGATTTTGGATGGATATATAAGTGGATCATTGCGTAAATTCTCATCTTCATACATGGTTTTACAAAAATTACAATTAAAGAAAAGTTTCCTTTGTCAACTAAAACATTACTTATTTTAAAAAGAAAATAAAAATGTTATTAGACCTTATTTATTCATATATTTCTTTGACTTTCAGAAATCCACAGGTTCAATCATAGGTATATGAATAAATTCAATGAGTTACATAAGAATTCAAATTGTCGGGTGACGTTCGGCTGGTATCGAACCTGTCTCTACAGATGAGTATTACTTTAGTCACCCATAATCAAAACATTGATTTAACAAGCAACTCTGTTACTATTTTGGAATTGAATTTAAAAATTCATATTTGCTTTGAACACTCATTATTAGACTACAGATTTTATACATTTTTGTCAAAAGTAACTAGATCAAATAGAAAGCAGTAAAAACAAAAAAATTCTTAATACTTTGACTGGCACGCCAACAATTTCGAAAATTAAATAATTTAATATTTAGTATTTAATATTTAATAAATTAAATAATTAAGATAAGACGTTTATAAGATTCTTACGTTCTGCGAATCCTAATCAAATTGGGAACATATAATAGATCACGTAAATCTCTTTGATTACGCTTATCTTATAGATCTTATTGATGATTTGTTAGAAAATATTTACTGTTTATAAAAATCTGCAGTCTACTTATTATACTACACACAGAGAAAATAATATCAAATATAGCCTATTTGAACTATGCTAACGTTTATTCCAAGATAGCATATGCTAGTTACTTCGAAGTCACGTACAAAATAAAATAATTATTTTTTAATATAAAATTTGTATCAGAGAGTTCATATACGTATGAATTAGAATAAATATAGAAATAGTGCAGAAATAGAATTGATATAGAACCTCAATTACCATAACTAATGTGGTAAACATGAATGAACGCATAATAGAATAGTTACTTAAATAAATTGTTGAATTAAATCCTTATTAATGAGTCAAATAAATAGTGTCGTACACAAAATGCTTTGTACATGAACAACCTGTTTGAGTAATAAAGAATTCAGTTACTGTGAAGGATCGGATAATCGAGGTTCGATTGTATCTGAATATCCGAAAAACTAGTAATAATAAAGGATTTATTATTTACAAGAATCTGTTAACTTTGTCCTCAGAAGTAAAATTCGATATCAATCGCTCCTCGCAAGAGTTAAATTGAATATCAATTTCCTTGTGCGCATGATGATGTACAATCCCGTATCTCCATTAAACAGTATATTTATTTCATAAAATCTTTCTGTCAGTTTCAGATTGTATTTTATAGGAATTGTGAATTGTGATATTTGCTAGTGAATATACACAAAAATCCAACATTTTTTCAACAAGCACACGAATATGTTTCTACGATAAATGAAAAGCACGGCAGAACCTCGCTGTGAATCACTTTTTCCCAAATTCGTTACATTCCATATTATATAAACATTTCTTTAAGATTTAATCGTATATGATTTAGACCTATAAATATGTACACAGATAGGTTCAGTGTAAAGATAATAATATATAACAAAATTATTACATGAGGATATATATACGTATATAAATAAAATAATTTAAAGCGTCACGTATTCAACACAATTTATTGTACAAATCAGTAAAGATTTGTAAATAACTGTTGTATTATCGGATCTCATCAATAATTCTACAATCAGTTCATACAATCGAGATTTTTACTGTACCATGAAATTTTTAAACGAAAAATGCGATACAAAAATATTCAACGACCTCCTCTCTCATTCTCTCTTTCTCTCTATTTCTCTCTCCCTCTTTCTTTACTGTCTCGATCGTTCTCCCCCTCCCATTTGGGCCAAACAAGCTTCGGATAAAAATAAAAAGCTTAAGAACGTTTAAAGCCGATAAAAATTAAATTGGTAATAACCG